ATTTTAAATCTGTTTTCCACAATTTTTCCCAGTCCTCAAATTGTATAATATGTCCTATATCTTGTGCCCATTTGAAGGATGAGCGCCTTCTGAGATGTGAATTCTATGAAATCACTCTCCATTGGAAGTTTCCGGTGTAAATATGTGCAAATAAAGCATATTTCAAAGATACTGCAGACTCTGCGGTACCTCATTTACCCCCGAAGGAACACAGACCCTGGCTGAATGTCCAAAACCCCTTGGAATCTCGTGCAGAGACTGGGGTGGCCAGTTAATGTGCATTAGGATGCTCTGCTCATGAAATCTCATAAGGACTACAGTGGTACCTTGGTTCTCAAATGCCTTGGTACTCAAACAACTTGGAACCCAAACTCTGCAAACCCGGAAGTAAGCTTTCTGGTTTGCGAACTCTTTTCGGAAGCTGAACGTGCTCCGTTTTGAGCATTGCACTTCCGATCTGAGTGCCACGCTTCCGTTTTGAGTGTTACGCTGAGTTCTGTCTGCTTTTGCTATTTATTTTGCATTTTTGTTTTTGCAGCTCTCTCTCTCTCTCTCTGTGTGTGTGTGTGTGTAACTGTGTAGAACCCAGTTCAGCTACTGATTGATTGATTGATTGATTGATTGATTGATTCTGTGACTGCAGCACATCGTTTATTGCTTTCATTTTATGGATCAATGGTCTCGTTAGATAGTAAAACTCATGTTAAATTGCTGTTTTAGGGTTGTTGTTTTTTAAAAGGTCTGGAATGGATTAATCCGTTTTTGCATTACTTTCCGTGGGAAAGCGTGCCTTGGTTTTGGAACGCTTTGGTTTTGGAACGGACTTCTGGAACGGATTAAGTTTGAGAACCAAGGTACCACGGTACTTCCTTCACAAAGAAATTGCAACCTGATGTGGCAACTGACAAGAACCTCAACGGACAGATTTCACTAGCCTTATATGCCTACAATTTGATTTCTCATCCATTCCTTCCTGTGCACATGTGATTTTCCTCTCCTCTCTTTCAAGGCTTATCCTGGGCCTCACGGAGCAAGGAGAATTAAGGTAACCCTTTTTACAACAACAGGTAACTCTCAATTCCTAGCTGTGATTCCTGCAGCCACCTCGGGTGGCAGAGTCCCTTGGGGTGGCACCCCAGCCTGTGCCCAGCCTGCCCCTGCTGCTGCTGCCAGAGAAGCATGGAGCAGTAAGCGAGGCTTTGGCAAGGGGCAAGGCAGCTTCCCTTTTTGCCTCAGGCGGCAAAATGGGATGGGACATTCCTGATTCCTGGTATAGGGTATGTCCGAGAGACAATCAGTCCTCCATGAATTTGTTTGATACTCTTTTAAAGCCATCACAAGTTGGTGGCCATCACTCACTTGGGGAGTGAATTCAATAGGTTAGCTATGCTCTATCATGGGTGGCCAACTCCCAAGAGACTGTGATCTACTCACAGAGTTAAAAGCTGGCAGTGATCTACCCCATTTTGTTGGGTTCAGGTCAAAGTTGTTGAGCTTTTTTTAGGGGAGCAAGTGATCTACAACACGATCTACCTGTTGGACATGCCTGCACTGTGTGAAGGACTTTCTTCTGTCTGCTCTGAATCTTCCACCATTCAGCTTTGGGTTGTTGTTGTTTTTTCTCAATGTGGAAATTTTTTATTTCACCATTACAGAAGAAGCTCTTTTGCCAGTTCTTATATAACTGTTATAAGTTACACATATAACACATATGCAAGTCCTGTGAGTAAAATCAGTGAAAAAATAAAATATGATATTTTTTATTTATATTCTGGGCAATACTCATGTTATATGTATGGTGTCCATTTACACAGATACTGCTCTGAGGCCTTTTACAATCTTGCAGTGTATAAATTTTAGGAAATAACGGAAAAGTTACTGAAGTTTGAGTATATTAGCTCGTTGGTTGCTTACACTATACAGGCTGTTATGACCCTCCAATGACATTGTTAGTAGCTGGCAGGCTGCCAATCCCTACTGAGATAGGGCCAGTGTTGTGATTCGCTAATTGCAGCATTAAGGCGACCTATTGTAGACAGTGTGTGTGTTTTGCCTGGGCCGGCTTAAGGTATATAAACTGGGCCAAAAAGTTGGATTTTGGGGCACTCCCACCACATGTGGAGGTATGTGCCTGTGGAGGTGACCCTCTCCAGCATTTTATGAAACTGATTTGTAAAAATGTTACATGGAAAAAATACGAGAGACATTACACATACTTCTGTAAAACAAGAAAATCTTTAATAATAATAATAATAATAATAATAATAATAATAATAAAGTATAAACTCCGCCAAATGCCCTTGTTTGTAGCATTCAGCTTTGTTGGTGTGGAATGTTCAGGGTGGCAGGAGAGGATATATTGTTTATTAATATCCTTCCGAACTTGCGCTGGCAAGTTCCTTTATGTAGCAGAGTTACACACACACCCCTTTTTATATGCACAGCAGATAGCTGGTTGCAGGCTCGTGTGAGCCTCTCACTATTATACAATTCAATCTGTCTCAGACTGAATTGTATGTTCCTGGTAAGTACCCTTGAATCCCTCTTAAAAGAATAAAGATGCCACAATCTTATTCAAAGTCAATAAAAGAAGTTTACTTACATCAGTTCACAGTTGGATCCCTGAAGGCAGACTTAGTTACAAATATGTACATGTGGATCTACCCCATATGGGGGAATAATCCCAGTGCTTCTGCCAGCTGAGAGCTAGCAGAGCAGTCCTAGCTCTGAAAGCTGGTCAAACGAAGAAGGAAGTGAAAGAGAGAGAGAGAGAGAGAGAGAGCTGCATGACTCATCCTTTTGTTACCTGGACAGGTTAGGTCACAGTCACCTTCTATCACATGCAAAAGGAAGGATGCTCCAGCCCAGGAGGAACAGGAAGTTTCGACTGGCTGGACCAAGCATCCCCCTGCATGTCCACTCTAGGAAAACAAGGAATGTTGTATTTGACTGCCTCTCATGGATCACATCCCACAGTTGGGTGGTCCAGTTGGGCTCTAGTATTATGAGGGGGGCCTGAAACTGTCTCAACTGCTATGGGGAAGAAAAACATTTGATGAAATGTAAAAATCCAAAGATATAAAATTAACAAGGTTTTCTCTCTTTAGAAGCAAAGGTCAGACATGGTGGATCCTGATTCCCTGCCAGTTCAAGGTCAAAAGGTTGGCATTTTTTTTATTTATTTTTTTGTCAATAGATGCCAAAACATAAAAAGCTGTGTGGTTGTGGTGGCGACTCTTTGGCTGCTGCAACCTAGGTTAATGAAACAGTGAGAGAGTGTATTGCATCTCCAAGCTCTACACATGTTATGTACTGAGTTGAATAGGATCCAAAATGCAGCAGTCTAATTGCTCCTAGAAAAATAGGACCCAGAATGCAGCAGTCTGATTGGTCCTAGAACAATAAGATCCAGAATGCAGCAGTCTGATTGGTCCGCAGGAGCCACCCAATCCAACTCCAGGTGGAAGTGAATCCGCAATCTGATTGGTCGACAGGTGACTCCCAGAATTAGCCAATCACGTGGGGCCCATTATGTAAATAATGTATATAAAGCAGACATTTCGTGGGAACTTCCATTCCTCACTACTATGAGCTGAATAAAGAGCATGAAATCCACACTAGACTCCGAGTATATTTCAACACACTAAATTAACTCCTCTTTCCTTGGGTTTTGCCAGAATCCGACATCCCCAGAAATCTGTCCAAAATTTGATTTACATCTTTAGGGTTTCGTTGTTGGTTTTGCAGCCTGGAGCAGGTCCAGACGGTTCCTCTTTTCTGCTCTCCTTCCTTAAAAATATATACTCATTTTATTGAATAACTAAAAAGCCAGTTATCCAGTTAACCGGGAACCTCTAAAGAGCAACTTAAAAAATAAGTGTTGCAATCTTGAGTTCAGTAGCAGCTTTTGAACAAGCTCTGCAAATAAAAGTTAAATGGGTTAAATATATATATACAAAGATGCATATTAATATTTTATCATGATTTTGCTGATAATTTTAGGTAATAGGTTTATTAGAGTGAAAAGATGTTGAGAAGGACAGGAAGTTAAATTTACGAAGATATATACTTCTTTGTTGGAATATTTATTTTGATGGGTTTGATCTACAGACTACAAAATGTCTTAGATGTATGGATGTAACTACGGTTAATAAAGCTAAATAAATAAATAAATAATAAAAATAAAAATCTAGAATTACTAAAAGGCCATTGCATCCCAAGATATACATCAAAGCATGCAGCTGAACAATAGAACAGAACAATTTCATTCAGGATTATGAGGCTCAAACGTTGCACATTATTGCAGATCCTTTGCAGAATAATAATAATAATAATAATAATAAATTTTATTTGTATCCCGCTCTCCCCAGCCAAAGCCAGGCTCAGAGCGGCTAACATCATATAAATAAGACAATATGCATAATACAATATACAATATGCAAATAAAATAACATTCAGCATTCATTAAAACAATATAGAATAATATTAAATATCAGCATTTCAAAATTAAACAGAAATCCACTCAACGGTTACAATAAGTAATTTGTAATCTCCAATCAATAAAACAACAGCAAACCACAGTGCACAACATAATACAATACAAAATGAGAAGCAGAGACTGGAGGGTGGAGCAAGGCAGGTGGAAGGAGGCCTTGCCTGATAGAGTCTCTCCCCTCACAGTTCTTCCTCCATAAGAGAATAACCTCCGCTGGTGAAAAAACCCCAACATAGAAACATTCAGGGTCTTCAGATCCTTCTGCGTGTTACTGTCTCAGACATCACGTGTTACTGTCTCAGATATCGCAAGGTTCCAGATGTTATTATGCTGCAAAGACAATTGTCAATCATGCAGCGCTTTCCCCTTGGGGACCTTTGAGCCAACAGCCAGCATTAATAGTTCCTAATAGATGGCCCTCCGTTGACAGCACAGCCAGCCACACGGTCTCTTGGGACACTCATAATGTCACTAATAAGAACAGTGGCAGGGAAGTCACAGGACGGCCGTAGCTCAGTGGCAAAGCATCAGCCTTGCATGGAGAAGGTTCTAGGTTCAATCCCCGATATCTCCAGGTCAGACTGGGAATGGCCCCTTTCTGAAACCCTGGAGAGCTGTTGGCAGTCAGTGTAGCCAGTACAGTGGTACCTCGGGTTAAGTACTTAATTCGTTCCGGAGGTCCGTACTTAACCTGAAACTGTTCTTAACCTGAAGCACCACTTTAGCTAATGGGGCCTCCCGCTGCTGCCGCGCCGCCGAAGCATGATTTCTGTTCTCATCCTGAAGCAAAGTTCTTAACCTGAAGCACTATTTCTGGGTTAGCGGAGTCTGTAACCTGAAGCGTATGTAACCTGAAGCGTATGTAACCCGAGGTACCACTGTACTGAGCTAGATGGAACAATGGTCTGAGGGAGGATAAGGCATAATAATAATAATAATAATAATAATAATAATTTATTTGTACCCCGCCCATCTGGCTGGGTTTCCCCAGCCACTCTGGGCAGCTTCCAACAAAGTATTAAAATACACTAAGATGTCACACATTAAAATTTCCCTGAACAGGGTTTCCCCAGCCACTCTGGGCGGCTTCCACAAAGACCAAAAATACACTAAGATGTCACACATTAAAACTTCCCTGAACAGGGCTGCCTCAAGATGTCTTCTGAATGTCAGGTAGTTGTTTATCTCTTTGACATCTGATGGGAGGGCGTTCCACAGGGCAGGCGCCACCACCGAGAAGGCCCTCTGCCTGGTTCCCTATAGCTTTGCTTCTTGCAATGAGGGAACCGCCAGAAGGCCCTCGGCGCTGGACGTCAGCGTCCGGGCAGAATGATGGGGGTGGAGACGCTCCTTCAGGGCATCTCCCTATGTTCCTAAATCACCTGTAAAACGTGGGTTGGCTTGCAAATCCTTCTGTGCACAGTCAGTGAGATTCCAGGGACAACCACCAGCAAGGAAGCCCTGCTGCCTTGATATACCGTATTTTTCGCTCTATTAGATGCACCGGACCATAAGACACACCTAGTTTTTAGGGGAGGAAAACAAGAAATAAAAAAGCAACGCAAAGCATCCTGAGCTAAGAGGGAGCGCTCCTCCATCTTTGCTCAGGAGGCTTTGCGGGGCTATCTCTGAAGCCAGGAGAGCAAGTGGGATCGGTGCGCACCGATCCCTCTTGCCCTCCTGGCTTCAGCGAAAGCAAGCCACCTGGCTTTTCCCTGACCTCTTTAAAGGGAGTGCGGCTCTTGGGGGGCTTTTCTGGGAGGTGGGGTCCTCTGTCCCTTCCCCCACCTCCCGCAAAAGCCAGGGATGGCCGCGTGAAGCCTCCGCACGGCAGCGGGAGGAAGGCTCCCTGCTGCTGTGCGGAGGCTTCCCGTGGCTAAGCCAGAAGCTAGAACAGCTAGAGGAAGCTTTGTGCAGTGCTCCCTCTTGCTGTTCTGGCTTTTGGATAGCCCCGCGAAGCCTCCGTAGGGCACGGGGATGAAGGCTCCCCGTGCCCTGTGGAGGCTTCGCGCGGCTAAACAAGAAGCCAAGAGAGCCAGCGGCCTCGCACAGCCTCTCCCGGGCAAGGGGAGCCTTCATCCCCTGCCCGCGAGAGGCTGCGTGCAGCTAAGGCTCCCCCAAGAGCCGCGCTCCCTTTAAAGAGTGCACGGAGTGTGTGTGCGGCTCTTGGGGGCTTTTACCAAGGAGGGAGAAGGGCAGCCCTTCTCCTTGGGGAAAAGCCCCGTAGAGCCGCACACATGCTGCACGTGGCTCTTTAAAGGGAGCGCTAAGCAGAGCCTCCCACCTGCATTCGCTCCATAAGGCGCACACACATTTCCCCTTACTTGTTAGGAGGGGGGAAGTGCGTCTTACAGAGCTGAAAATACGGTATTTTTTCATTACCTTTTGCCCTCTGGTTCTTGGAGGAACGTTGCCTTTTCCAAATGGAGGAGGAGGAAATCCACTACTGTGCTCTTAGAGATCCAGCCGCAATCACGCCAGCTTCCCAAGAGGCTCCTGCAATATTCCACATAGCTGGACTGTGCTTGGAAATGGCGAGGTTTCTTTATTCTCTTTAATTCTGTTTTTTTTTTTCCAGGGAGAAAAGGGGGCACCTGGAAGCCAAGGCAGCAAAGGAGAACAGGTCAGTTTCTTTGCACCAGCTGCAACATCTGTGCACATGTGTGCGTGTGCGACAATTGGGGCTTGCGGCAAAACGTTGCACTACTACGGAAAACTGGATTTCAGGATTCTAGATGCTCCCTTCAATTCCTTACCCCCACCCCTCATTTCCTAGTGGGTCTCCTTCCGTGGCGAGTTTCCCCCCCCCCCAGTGGAAATAAAGACACATGACACAATTATTAAGGTTAATGGGCTAAAAAAGGCCACAACTTTATTGCTTACAGGTGATGAGCGGTATTGGCTTAGGCATTGGTCCTAACCGACTATACCCGACTCCAGTCCGTCTGCTTGAAGTCCGGGAAGGGTTAACCACCAATAGGGGGCGTCCTGCTGATGCACATCAACTAGGAACTCCCTCGGGGTCACCGCTTGGGGGCGTGCCTTAGGCCCTTACCTCCATAGGCTTCAGACAGGACCACTCCCCCTGGAACCTTTAATATGCAGGGCAGGTGATGGCACTTCCTCTCCTCTTCCATCTACAAAACAATACCATGAGAGCCAGTGTGGTGTAGTGGTCAAGAGCGGTGGACTCGTAATCTGGTGAACCGGGTTCGCTTCCCCGCTCCTCCACATGCAGCTGCTGGGTGACCTTGGGCTAGTCACACTTCTCTGAAGTCTCTCAGCCTCACTCATCTCACAGAGTGTTTGTTGTGGGGGAGGAAGGGAAAGGAGAATATTAGCCGCTTTGAGACTCCTTCAGGTGGTGATGAAGTGGGATATCAAATCCAAACTCAAATCCAAATACCAATGCCTAACCACCAATACCAAGAAAGTTGTGATGATTTGCTATGAGGTAGGCGAAAACCAAGCGGCTGGTGCCAATTTGCCAAGGGGAAAAATTCCTACCAGGCCCCTTAATGGTGACCAACCGAGGTCCACAGCAAGGTCAAGGATCGAAAACCTTATAGGGCGGGAGGGTGGGAAACAGGAACAGCTGGTAGGCGGCAAAAGAGCCTGTGTTAAATAGGACAGGCCACACCCCCAGAGCCAGCCGATTGGCTGGCCAGGGGGTGACGCCGTCGGGGCTTCCCCCAATTGGGCGGGAGCTGGGCTGTGACGCCCGCAATCCCATCTCCTCTGCAGGGCGGAAGTGGCTTTGCAAGGCTGCATTATACTGACTCAAACTGTTGGCCCACGTGGCTCACTGTTTTCTTCACTGAGACTATCAGTACCTTTCTAGAGTTTCAATCAAGGGTCTGGCAACATCTGATGGGCCATGTGTTTCACAGTCTTGCATTGAGAAGGAAGGAGAAATGGGGAGGGCCGTTGCATTGTTGGACAGGGAGAACATCTTGGAGAGGCTTTGGCCAAGAGGAGCAAAGTTGAAGGAATCATAGAATCATAGAATCATAGAGTTGGAAGAGACCACAAGGGCCATGGAGTCCAACCCCCTGCCAAGCAGGAAACACCATCAGAGCACTCCTGACATATGGTTGTCAAGCCTCTGCTTAAAGACCTCCAAAGAAGGAGACTCCACCACACTCCTGGGCAGCAAATTCCACTGTTGAACAGCATTTACTGTCAGGAAGTTCTTCCTAATGTTTAGGTGGAATCTTCTTTCTTGTAGTTTGGATCCATTGCTCCGTGTCCGCTTCTCTGGAGCAGCAGACGCTCTGATCTCTGCATTTGTGCAAGGGGAGCACATGGAACGGGGCTGTCTGAAATCTTTGCTGTGCGATGGAAAGCATGTAAACATCTGAGCCTGAGGGTATAGTGAGCTCTCTCTCTCTTTCCCTTACAGGGGGAACCAGGAGAACCAGGGGAGCCAGGGGAGAAGGTAAGCAACAAAGGTCATAGAATCATAAAGTTGGAAGAGACCAAAGGGTCAGCTTCATCATCATCATCATCATCATTAATTGAATTTATATACCACACTATATCTGGAGGTCTCAGGGCAGTTCACAGAATAAAATCAAAATAAAAAATGACAAAGTACATGTCAGATGCTGTGTGGTGGTTGCTCGTGAGTAACCAGGCAGGGCTCCGACCTGTCTTTTACAGGTTTTATTGTGCAAACTATTTACAGTGCAGATACACAAAGTTGAGAGCCAGTGTGGTGTAGTGGTTAAGAGTGGTAGTCTCGTAATCTGGGGAACCGGGTTCGCGTCTCCACTCCTCCACATGCAGCTGCTGGGTGACCTTGGGCCAGTCACACTTCTTTGAAGTCTCTCAGCCCCACTCATCTCACAGAGTGTTTGTTGTGGGGGAGGAAGGGAAAGGAGAATGTTAGCAGCTTTGAGACTCCTGAAGGGGAGTGAAAGGCGGGATATCAAATCCAAACTCTTCTTCTTCTTCTTCTTCATGTCCATCTTAGCCACTTGCAGAATCTGGGAGTGGCCCCTTCCAGTTTCTCCCCCAGCATAAGAACTTCAGCACCCCAAGCCTCCTCCTCCTCCTCTCCTTGTGTTCCACCCCCCTGCACAAGCTGGGCGACGGAAGTGGCGTGCGTCGGCAGCATCCTCCAACCCTTTCCTCGCTTGGCTGGCCCCTTTCCTCTCTTCTCCACTGGAGGTGTAGCTTTTCCCACCGCTGGAAGAGGAACTGCCCTTCAGGAGTTTCGGAGGATCCCAATAACCCAATAGCCCCTTGCAATGCAGGAATCTCAGCTAAAGCATCCATGATAGATGGCCATCTAACCTCTGCTTAAAAACATCAAAGGAAGGAGAGTCCAGACATTCTTACAGGCTGGGAGATCTTTGACAGCGCTTCCAGTTCTGCCCAGCAATCACAGTAGCAACTGGATACCCCATTTCAGAGCCCCAAACTAGACTTTACATAGAGTTGCAGGCAACTGTCGCTGCACACAGCACATACTCAGATATGGATGCAAGAAAAACCTTGCTAGATCAGAGCAGAGGCACTACAGCTTGAATACACCCACCCCTAAGCCTTTCCTTCCTAAACATTAGGAAGAACTTTCCTTCCTAAATATTAGGAAGAACTTCCTGACAGTGAGAGCTGTTCGACAGTGGAATTTGCTGCCAAGGAGTGTGGTGGAGTCTCCTTCTTTGGAGGTCTTTAAGCAGAGGCTTGACAACCATATGTCAGGAGTGCTCTGATGGTGTTTCCTGCTTGGCAGGGGGTTGGACTCGATGGCCCTTGTGGTCTCTTCCAACTCTAGGATTCTATGATTCTATGATCAGTTATTGCCCAAACATATCCAGGGTGTTTCATGGCATCAAGAAGACTAGAAACTTACCTTTTGCTCTTTTCTCTACCAGGGCGCCAGAGGCGAAGAAGGAGAAACGGGTCAAAAGGTAAAGGAATGGCTTTGCTGGGATCAGGGGGCCACCCAGAACAAGCAACTCATCTTCCATTTGCAGAGTTGCTTTCAATTTGAGTCACAGATTATTGGCATCATGTGAACCTGTGTATTATGCCGTGTGGTCGGAATTCACTTCTCTCTTATTTGCTCTTTTTTCTAAAGGGAGAGCCAGGAATTGGCTTCCGGGGACCTGTTGGTCAGGCTGGACCTCCTGGGCACAAGGTAAGTTCGGCAACTTTCCTGCTCCATCTCCATATTGAGACTTCGTTTATTTCTCTGAACAGCCAACTAGTCCTTTATAGAGGACAGTAGTGGGGAATGTTTAACCTTCTGGGTGGTGCTAGACTCCTATTCACAACATCCTCAGACAGCATAGCCCACAGTCAGGGACAAAGGAAGCTATAGTCCAGTGTCCAGAGAGCTACAGGTTTCCCACTCTTTATAGAGGAGAAACAGACTGGCCTGAAGTAGACCATCAGGGTGGAAAGTGAAACTGGCCTCCCTTCCAGTTGAGGGAGCTGAAGGCTACAAAGAGATGGAAATGTATCAGGAGGACCACAAAACCCAAAGGGCCACCTCTCCCCACACAAGCCAACTCTGACCCTGCAGTCTTCATCAGAAGACCTTCCCTGAGGAAGGAGTGAAGGTTGACCACATGAGAACAAGCCTTTTCAGTGGTGGCCCCACTGTGGAATGCTCTCCTTGGGGAGACCCAAGATGCCAGACTAAGGCCTTTTTGTTCGCCTAGGCCATTGGTTCATTAATGTTGCTTCCTATGGTGGTCATCTGTCAAGGCTGGAGTCAAATACAGGTCAGCACAAAGAAGCAGAGTTGTTGGCGAAGTTTACTCTTTGTCAAGGAAACAGCATACAACTCGGCAACACTTTCGGTGGGTCTTCCCCCTGTAGGGCAGTTGGTGAACTGAAGGTCCCTGCCTTCCATCCCTTCTAAGGCTCCACCTCTCCTGGATGTTTCCCAAGCAGTCTCAAACTGCATCTGTGCACCTCTGACCTTCGTTCAGCTCTTCTCATTACTCTGCATGTTCTTAGAGACCAGGAAGGAGCTTCTTACAGCAGGAGAGGCAGACTCTTGGAATTCTCCAGCAGCCTTGTGACCCACCTCTGCACTGCTTCAGCCTCAGAGTCTGAACTGCTCCCTGTCACAGGCTCTTCCTGCTCAGTAAACCCTGTTGCCCCATCAGCTTCCAACACCACCTCCTCCCAATCTTCTCCCTCCGACCTCTCCTCTGTGTCCCACCACCAATCCCTGGGCTCTGAGCCTTCCTCCTCTGGGGTTTCCCTTGAGGGTTCCCTGGCTCGTACCTCCCACCACTCCTCTTCACCCAGCCAGTCCCTGACATCTTCTAGGAGGGGTGTGTGGGACTTGCCCTTGTTGGGCGAACATGCTAAGTGCTTTGCAATGCCCACTGCTATAAAATAAACATCTAGGTTAGCTCAGTTGCTTAGCATGTGGTGCTGTGATAATGCCAGGGTTGCAGGTTCTATCAGACAACTGCATATTCTTGCATTGATGATCCTTGGGGTACATTCCAAATCTACAATTCTATGATTCTAGGTCCAAATTGCTATTTACTTCTTGTATTCCACCTTGTCAAGTCGCTTATCATTTCCAATACGTTTCCAGTACGTTTCCGAGCACAATTCAAAGTGTTGGTGCTGACCTTGAAAGCCCTAAACGGCCTCGGTCCAGTATATCTGAAGGAGCATCTCCACCCCCATCGTTCTGCCCGGACACTGAGGTCCAGCGCCAAGGACCTTCTGGTGGTTCCCTCACTGTGAGAAGCAAAGCTACAGGGAACCAGGCAGAGGGCCTTCTTGGTGGTGGCGCCCGCCCTGTGGAACGCCCTCCCACCAGATGTCAAAGAGATAAACAACTACCTGACATTTGGAAGACATCTGGAGGCAGCCCTGTTCAGGGAAGTTTTTAATGTGTGACATTTTAATGTATTTTTAATCTTTGTTGGAAGCTGCCCAGAGTGGCTGGGGAAACCCAACCAGATGGGCAGGGTACAAATAACAAATTATATTGTTGTTGTTGTTGTTGTACAAAGCAACAGATAATTCATCACGATCATACTATAAAAACATGTGCTCATCTTGTGACGGGACAATATGATGTCTTCTCGCTAGGGTGAGCCCGGAGTCCCGGGACCTCCAGGGGCACAAGGCATCCAGGGTATCCGTGGCAACCCCGGGACCCCCGGGTCGCAGGGGGAGAGAGGTGCCCCAGGCCCACCTGGAATTCCAGGACAAAAGGTAGGTGATCAACAGTTGGGTGTGGCGACAGCCCATTGGCCAAGTGATTCAGGGAACTGACTCAAACGCAGGGAGCGGAGGTGGATTACGGAAGCTCCTCCAAGCTTCTCAAAGCTACTTCATAAGCTGCTGAAAGGGACCCTCTGGAACTCTTGAGATGAACAATCCAAACTAAGCGCCATGACGCTCTGCCTTTTAATATCCTCTCCATCAGAATTGCCGTATAAATCAAGCCTTGGCTGCTCCTGAGAACATCGGGAGAGCCCTGTTGGGCAGAGCAAAGGCCCAGCTAGTCCAACCGGCAGTTTCTGGGTCAGCGTTCTTAACTACGCAGCACGACAAGCTTTATAGAGCCATTATTATTTGTTCAACATGAACATTACCGTATTTATTAGATTTCTAGGGAGCCGAAATTGGAAGCCAGGTTTTCCAGACATGCCTCTGCTTCTGGTTCTAGGTCGAGAGCTCAGTAGGTTAGAGCGTGGTGCTGATAACGCCACCGTTTCAGGTTCGATCCCCGTATGGGACAGCTGCCTATTCCTGCTTTGTAGGGGATTGGACTAGATGATCCTCAAGGTCCCTTCTAACTCCACAATTCTTTGATTTCAGCTACCCCATGATAAGGCTACTCCTCAGTCTAACACAGTGGTTCCTGAAGTGGGTGGTAGCACCCCCTGGGGGGTCAATGAGATTACCTGGGGGGGCGTGCTAAGAGGCAAGGGGGTGCCAGGGGATGTTGGAGGTGCGCATGGCAATCAGGCTTCGAAAAGCTGGTGTCGCGGTCATCCATTTTGTTGAAGTAGTTTCAATTGGGTTTCAAATAAATGTGCGGCTAATTGTTACTGCAGGGTAACAATTGTTACAGTAGTAACAGTAGTTACAGTAGTAACAATTGTTACTACTAATTGTTACAGGGACGCTGGTGGCGTTGTGGGTTAAACCACAGAGCCTAGGACTTGCCGATCAGAAGGTCAGCGGTTCAAATCCCTGCGACGGGGTGAGCTCCCGTTGCTCGGTCCCTGCTCCTGCCAACCTAGCAGTTCGAAAGCACATCAAAGTGCAAGTAGATAAATAGGTACCACTCCAGCGGGAAGGTAAACGGCGTTTCCATGCACTGCTCTGGTTCGCCAGAAGCGGCTTAGTCATGCTGGCCACATGACCCGGAAGCTGTACGCCGGCTCCCTCGGCCAATAAAGCAAGATGAGCACTGCAACCCCAGAGTCGGTCACGACTGGACCTAATGGTCAGGGGTCCCTTTACCTTTAACTTAATTGTTACTGCTTCAGATTTCGACGTGTTACACTCATTCAGTGGATTATACAAACCACCATTCTGAGTAATGCTTTTTATAAGTTAAGTTAGGGGGCACTAGGGATGAGTTTATGGAACCAAGCGGGTGGCGGCCCAAAAATATTTGGGAATGGCTGGACTCCAACACATATTGTTGTTGTTGGCACCCGTCTGTCTCAAGAGACAATGGAGGAGAGCAGCTTTGAGGGTGAAGCCATACCATTGGAGAATCACAGCGCCTGCTGTGGCTGTAGAGACCTATACAGGAGAGGTATGTTTTGTTGCAGCTGGGGCAGAGGAAGGCGTCCGGCTGTGCTGCTGCGGATGCACCAGGGCATTTCTTCTCTCTGCGCTCCTCCCAGCGGTCATTCCTCCTCCGGTCACTGCTGTGGATTCACAACCTGATTGTCTGTCTCCAGGCAACTGCGGTCGTCTGCAAAGTATTCCCACATGGTGGAGTTGATGTTGCCAACTTCCATGTCCTGTTTGCGGACATCTTTGTAGCACAGAGTGGCAGTGCCAAATTACCAAACAGGCAGAGGAGGCCCCACGCATTTTCCTGGCCCCGCGACAACCGCTCAAAGTGAATGAATGAATTTATTATTTCGGTCACAGACCAGTTGCAGCCCACATGCAATATCAAGGAAGTCATAAAACACGATAGGGATACATTTGAATTTGCAATTAGGTGTAACAGGTACCTATTTATCTACTTGCACTTTGACGTGCTTTTGAACTGCTATGTTGGCAGGAGCAGGGACCAAACAATGGGAGCTCACCCCGTCGCGGAGATTTGAACCGCTGACCTTCCGATCGGCAAGCCCTAGGCTCTGTGGTTTAACCCAGAGCACCACCTGCGTCCCTGATACAGATATAGCAACAGTTAAATATACAGTGGTACCTCGGGTTAAGTACTTAATTCGTTCCGGAGGTCCGTACTTAACCTGAAACTGTTCTTAACCTGAAGCACCACTTTAGCTAATGGGGCCTCCTGCTGCTGCCACACCGCCAGAGCACAATTTCTGATCTTATCCTGAAGCAAAGTTCTTAACCTGAAGCACTATTTCTGGGTTAGCGGAGTCTGTAACCTGAAGCGTATGTAACCTGAAGTGTATGTAACCCGAGGTACCACTGTGTGTGTGTATGTGTGTGTGTGTGTGTGTGTGTGTGTATCTATCTATCTAAACTTAGTCACTAACATATAACCTAAAATTATCACCGCTCAAAGCAATACTGATTTGATCTTGTGGGCTGGTGAAATCAAAAACGTATTAGGAGATCATTTGCAAGCTGCCCCCCGCCCCCGATTTTGACTGCCTGGGGGCCTCCACAGGGTTTAATTTGGCACCGCAGAGTGGGTCTGCCAACAGGCCAGGTGCTTGAAGCCAGTTCCCCATTGAGCACATCCTTGGGGATCCTGCCCTCTTCCATTCTGTGGACGTGGCCAAGCTAGCGTGGAAGTTGTGACTCTTAACAGATACATATCGCAGCAAAAGCTCTAATCACATTACCGTATTTTTCGCTCCATAAGACACACTTTTTTCCTCCTAAAAAGTAAGGGGAAATGGCTGTGCGTCTTATGGAGCGAATGCGTGGTCCTTGGAGCCGAATTGCCCAGGGGCAAAAAGCAGATCGTGCTTTTTTTTTTAGAAAGAGGGAAGGGGGTGTTGAAATGAAGCCGCTGAGCAGCTGATTGGCACGTGATCGGGAGGGAGATAAGGGACGTGATAAAGGAGGCTGCCTGAGAGGGGGGAGGTAAAAGCACATGGATCCTCAGGATTTTTGCATTGGCTTACCCCAAATTCACCATCAGATCGCATAGCATGTCCATGGCTACAGCCTGCACCAAGAAAACCACGCATCCACTGTTTCATGGAGCCGCAATGGCGCAAAAACGTGGTTACAAAGCACAGATCCACACGGATTCTCAGGATTTTTGCACTGGGCTACCCCAAACTCATCGTCAAATCACATATCATATCTGTGGCCACAGCATGAACCACAAAAATCATACATCCACTGTTTCGTTCAGAATAATTTTTTTCTTGTTTTCCTCCTGTAAAAACTAGGCGCATCTTACAGTCAGGTGCGTCTTATGAAGCTAAAAATACGGTATATGCATTGGTTTCTAAAGTGCCCTAAGACTTGTTGTCAGGTTTTCTGCAAAGGCTAGGTTTTGGTGCTCACTTCTGGGTGGGGGAGAAAGTCCTTATGTCCTCGGTGCCTAGGACTGAGTCACACCAAAGTCACCGCTCTGGGATTCACCAAAACGCTGCGATTACCTTCCTAGCCCCTGTCATTTCCAATGCTCTCCCGTCCAGACTTTCCCCTTTAAAAAGCAGGGAGCTCAGACATCTGCAATCCCTCTTGCAAATCCTTGTGTCACTGTGACCTGGACTGGGTGTCCAAAGTGCTTGGAGGACATCACTTGTATGAGTAGACACCTAATGGGCTGTTTCACGGTGACACAGGCAGGATAATCGTTTGTGAGCTTTGCTGCCGAGGTTGCTTTGTTCCTTTGTGCTTCTGTTCCCTGACACTCAGAGAACTGTTTTGCTCCATGTGACTGCGGTTTCTTGGTTCATGCGGCTGCAGGCTCAGTGAATGCATCTGGGCTGCGTTTTGCAGAATGAGATGGAAGTATGTGAAATGTAACTGATATGCTTTTGTGCCTAATTGAACCATTACGTGTAGTGCTGTATATAAGGAAACCTTTACGAGCTGGTCTACAGCAGAGGAGGCGGTCTACAGCAGAAATCCTGTTTGTCAAGATACTGTACCTGATAATGGTCACTGATTGCATTACCTGGGGGGGGGTTAATGGGGGTTAATACTTTTAGTTCCTGACTCCAGGTCACAGGCTCACCCTATTCAAACACAAATACAGTGGTGCCCCGCAAGACGAATGCCTCGCAAGACGGAAAACCCGCTAGACGAAAGGGTTTTCCATTTTTGAGTTGCTTCGCAGGACGAATTTCCCTATGGGCTTGCTTCGCAAGACGAAAATGTCTTGTGAGTCTTTAGATTTTTTTCCGCTTCCCCCCCCTTTTTCTAAGCCGCTAAGCCTTTAATGGCCTTTTAGCAGCTAATCCGCTAAGCCGATAAGCCTTTAATAGCCGCTAAACCGCTAATAGCGCTAATCCGCTAAGCCGCTAATAGGGTTGCTTCGCAAGACGAAAAAACCGCTAGACGAAGACACTCGCGGAACGGATTAATTTCGTCTTGCGAGGCACCACTGTATGCCCTTAAGACAGGATTTGTAAGCAAAAGACAATGGGGAGGCTCTCCATTATTTTCCTCCCTTTCTGCAGAGGAATATTTGAGGTCACTGGGAGAGTCAAAATGACTTCAGAATTGCTTCTCTTACTATTTCAGACACGTGGTTTTTACACTTATGTATGTGAGTGCCTGGCGTGATCTGGTCCATGGGGTCATGAAGAGTCAGACACGACTAAACGACTAAACAACAACAACATGTGTTTGCCTTGTGCATTTATGAACATTTAATTTGTTGTGACCTCTTGGATAATCCAGGAACAAGGGTTGAAGTTGGTACAAAAATGGTATTACACACCTGTAAGGTTATATCATATTACAAAATCTGGAAGTAGGAAATGTGGAGTGATGGGAACGTACAGTCATATGTGGTGGGATTGTCTGTTAGTTAATGTATTCTGGAAACAGATTGGTATAGAAATATCGGGAATTGTGGGTAGGAAGGTGGAAATATCTAAATTAATGGTTCTTATTAGCCTGAGTAGCACTGAGTTAGAAACAAAAGAGGAATGTAAATGGGTAAAATTGATGGTAATTGCAGCCAGCCAGGTTATAGCGAGTAATTGGGAAAATGCAAAAGAGCTCGGGGTGAACCAATGGAGGGAAAAATAGAAATATTTTATAATCTTAGAATATCTAACTGTGAAGATACATAAAATGAAAGGGTTTAAGGTCAATGAGAAGGAGGAGGATTGGTTTGAGAAAATATTGAATTATTTGGGCAGGTTTGAACAATTTGGGGCAATTAAAATGTTAAAAGTTTAATAAACCTTATGGAGGGAGGAGTGTTAAGGTATATAGAATTGTACATATGGTTGATTTGAATATGTTATTATTGATTATGTATACCCAATGTATCAGCCGCCTGGGGGTTTGTTTTCACTGTTTGTGTTTTGGTTGTTGGTAAAAAAAAAATAAAAGGGGAAAAAATGAACATTTAATTTATATTTGAGACCTTAGAAT